GGGTGGTCCTTGGACTTCCCACAGGGCAGGGAACCCAGATTGCTCTTTGGGCTGACGAGGGAGGGAGACTTGATTGGGGGAGGGGGAGGGAAAGGGGAGGCGGCGGTGGGGAAGAGACAGAAATCTTTAATAAATAAATAAATAAATTTTTAAAAAGTAATATAAAAAAAATAAATGGGACCTCCTGAAACTGAAAAGTTTCTGTAAAGCAAAGGACATGGTTAATAAGACAAAACGACAGCCTACAGAATGGGAAAAGATCTTCACTAACCCCACATCAGACAGAGGTCTGATCTCCAAAATATACAAAGAACTCAAGAAATTGGTCATCAAAAGAACACATATTCCAATTTTAAAAAATGGAGTACAGACCTAAACAAAGAACTCTCAACAGAGGAATCTAAAATGAGTGAAAGACACTTAAGGAAATGGTCAACATCCTTAGTCATCAGAGAAACGCAAATCAAAACAACTCTGAGATTACATTTTACACCTGTAAGAATGGCCAAGATCAAAAGCACTAATGACAACTTATGCTGGAGAGGCTGTGGGGTAAAGGGAACACTTCTGCATTGCTGGTGGGAGTGTAAGCTGATACATCCCCTTTGGAAGTCAGTGTGGCGATTTCTCAGAATATTAGGAAACAACCTTCCTCAAGACCCAGTAATACCACTTTGGGGTGTATATAATCAAAGGATGCTCAATCATGCCACCAGGACATGCGGTCAACTATATTCATAGCAACATTGTTTGTCATTACCAGAACCTGGAAACAACCTAAATGCCCCTCAACTAAAGAATGGATAAGGAAATTGTGGTACATTTACACAATGGAGTACTACACAGCAGAAAAAAATAACAACATCTTGAATTTTGCAGGCAAATGGATGGAGCTAGAAAACATTATTTCGAGTAAGGTAACCCAGACCCAGAAAGACAATTATCACATGTATTCACTCATAGGTGGCTTTTAAACATAAAGCAAAGAAAACCAGCCCACAAACCACAATCCCAGAGAACTTAGACAACAGTGAGTACATTAAGAGAGACTTACATATATCTAATCTACATGGGAAGTAGAAAAAGACAAGATCTCCAGAGTAAATTGCGAGCATGTAAACTTTGGGGGAGGGTAGAAGAGGAAAAAGTCAAGCTCAATAAAAATCAATAAAAAGCATAATTATAATTCCAAACAAAAACCCTAAACCAATGCACCAAATGAATAATAAGATAAAATCACTGTATCAAAATAGCCTGTATTTCCAGTATTGTCTTGAAATGCTTAGATTTAACTTATTTTGATTTCTTTCAACACACTCTTTTTATCCTATAGCTTTCTATAGGAGTTTTTCAGGAGTTATCTGTAATTTAGTGTCCTCTGTAGTTAATGTGAATTATTTTCATCAAAAACAATATAAATACTCACAAGTAGCTTTATATGGAATCAGTGAGTTATATTTAGGAATATATATGTGTATACATATTCATGTACAAATGATCATACAATAGCAATTAGTGAAAAAAAAGAGACCATGAATTTGATGGACAGTGGCAAGGGGTATTGGGAGTGTTTGGAAGAAGAAAAGGGCGGGGGAGGAATGATGTAATATTTATTAGGATCTATTTAAACTGAAAGCCTTTTCTCTGACCAAAGTTGAGAAAAGCACAAGAATGGCACATGGAAACCATGGTAAAGGTAGATTTTTCAGCACTCTTAACACAAGTACACAAAGGATGGTCCATATGGAAGCGGAGACATTTGAAAATGTATTTGAAACATAATGATCTTTTCCCTATTTGTACATGTGTAAAATCATGTATAGCTAAAAGTTATGGTAGACAGAAAAGATAAGGGAAAGCAACGGGATAAAAGAAAGTGAAATGGCTTTAGGTAGCGATAAAGAGGATTAATCATTCCTCTTTTGAGTCTCTCTCAAGTTTCCCTAGGTTTATGGCCTTTAATGTGCTGAGACCAATTCTAACGCAGCTGTATGTTCCTTGGAGTGTAGCAAAACTTGACTAAAGACAGGAGGGCCAAGCTCCTCAATTAAATCAAGATTTAAAGGCTCAGAAATCGACAAGAAAAAGTAATCCATTTTTTCTTCTTGTAATGGGGTTTGTCTGAAAAAAAAAAACTACTTTTATAAGGGTGAATCAACTTGATGAGAAAATACATCATATGAACTATCTAAGCGCAGAGATTAATATAGCCAAATTGAGATGAAATAGTTCCCTCAGGAAATGCACTTTCCTGGTCATTTACAGCTTCCGGCTCTGCAGTTTGGGGCTTTCCATTCAGTCCCTCACACATTCATTCATTTCACCCTCTCATTCACAGGAGCTGTTCAGTGCCTGCTGTTTGCTCAGCCAGTCTCCAATTATTTTTTTGACAGGTGGCCCACTTGGGGAGCAACTGAAAGGACTGGTGAGTAGCTTGATATTTTTAAGTCCAATCTGAATACTTCAAATCTGAACATTTGGTAGCAGGTTCATCATTCCCACCACGGCCTCTGCTGTGAATTTGCAGGGGACGTTCTGCAAACTAAGGACCAGGGAAAATGTCACCTGCAAGGCTCAGAATTTCCTCCTTCAAGTTCTCAGTGTATGCCTGAGATGGGGCTCACACTGCCTTTGCCTGCTTATCCACATGGAGCCTCTTCCTGCCCTTTTCATTCAGATTTTTTGTCATGCAGTTCCTTGGCAGTTAACATCCCAGGTCCCCAGGTGCCTGCGGAGGGAGGATTTGATATTCTCGTGAAAGAGCACAAAATTGAGATTTCAAAGACACATTTCCACAGCAGGCGTTCTGGCTGTTTTGATGTCCTTTCATTTGGAGAGCAGAGAAGCCAACTTTTTGGTTAAATGGAAATCCATAATTTCCCTGAGAAATTGGGTATTTGTAAATGTTCCTGTCATTGTACAATTCCTGCCCCTTAAATATGACCCATCTGTATCTTTACACACGATCCAGGTCTTTAGAGAGGATGTCAAGTCAGTAAACAATTTGAAGTATATTGCATTGTGCTAAGTGGTGGCGCTGACAGAGAAATTTACACACAGAGAAATAATGAGGTACTGTATGGCTGCAGTTTGTAGTTTTTCTGAGAATTACAAGAGCCCATTATTTTCCATTTGATTAAATTCATTATGAAACTGAATGGAGAATGTCAGTAAAGAGCAACTTGGAATCAATTATATATGGCCCATCTCTAAACATATCTCTAAAGGAGTACTAATTTCTCAGCTCTCCATCTCCATTTGTGAACATAGATATTGACTTACACCAGGACTCTCAGGTGAGTACCAGTTATTATTTGCAAAAAGAGAATAATAACTAAATTAAAAATTTTATGCTTCTATGGGTGAACCTGAAAAGAGAGTCTCACACCTGTGTATGGATTATTAGTATGAAAAAGTGAAGAGTAATGTGAGACACTCTTAATAATTCTGACTGAAATTGTACTATACTTCCACGTACATACATTTGGAGTTTACTGTTGTTCTCAAGGTTATTTCTTCATATGACTCCTAGACAAGCATATCTGAACTTATTAAAAATCTTTTGCAAGTACTGGTTTTGCCATCTTCAGCCTCCTTCCTTGTCAACGTGCGATCTGAGTGGGTAATGACCCTGTCTTCCCCAGAGCTCATTATCAGTGTAAGACCTCAAAACCAGCTCTTCTCGTACTGAGTCAATCTTCATTTTTGCAGAGTCCTTGGGCAGTTTAAATGTACATTTGGAATTTTAAAAAATGTGCTCCTCTCCAAGGCTGATTTATTTTTTTTTAAAAAAGAACCTTTTTGTTCTTTTTGTATTCGTTTCCTGTTTGTGACATTATAATTTCTCTCATCAGCCAGGCTGAAATCATCAATCATTTTTTGTCACCATCATGTCTCATGTTCTTCCTAATCCACCAATGAGACACATTCAGCAATTAGACATCTTCAGTATCTCTTGACTTTGCCTTCTCCTTATCTTTCTACTCCTAATCTCCTTGTTCAAAGGATTCTAAGTTGTCATAACGTATTTAGTGTTCTGTTTTCCACCCTTTCCCCGATTGTTCGTTTTTTCTTTTTTCTTTATTTGCAGTCCTGATGATGCAAAGTAAGCCCCCTTGTATGCTGAACAAATATTACGCCACTGAACTTTTGTTTTTTGCTTTATATTTTGAGATAGGTTCTCATTAAGTTTTCCTGTCTGGGCTTAAACTCAGTAAGTAGCACATATGGGACTTGTCATCTTCCTGCCTTGATCTCTTGAGTAGGTAGGAGAACACTACCAGGCCTTGATTTCTGCTAACAAATATTTATGAGCCACTTGCTGCCTACAAAAGCAATGTTTAAGTCCTTTAATATGACTTTCAATATCCCATGTAATGTTGCCAAAAGTAATCCCTGACATTTTGTCCCAGCCTTTTCCCATTGACCTTTCAGCCTTATCAGGTAATTTTTCTTACCGAACATCACTGCTGCTATGTTTTTGTTTATATCTGAAGTGCCCATTTCATGTAATCTCGGATACAAACATTCACTTCTTTCAAGGCCTTTTAAATCCTCCTTTGTTCTTTCCCACCACCCAGCATGTGCTTCTGCAGCATTACTAGAACATCCCTGCTCTCCACTCTAATTTAGTGAGCTTTGCATTTATTCTTTCATCACCCTGAGTAATTCTGAAGTCCTTGAAGGCAGGAGCAGTGTCTTGTTCATCCTCTAACTGGGTACATTGCCTAGCTAAGTGGATTTTTTCCTGGTTTATTATTTTTTTGCAAAAATGGATATTCAATTAATGCATTATGAATGTAAATGAATAGTAAGAAAGGAGATTAGCTGTTATATTAACAGAAAGAGACATTTTAGCTATCAGCAAACATTTGTCAAAATAGCTGCTAAAAGCAGCTAGTGCCATTAACATCCCCTGGCACAGAATGAATACAGTTAACTGCTAGGATTAATTGCATTCTACCACTTCTACGTTCAGGTATCCTTCAATGTCTTCTAGTTTCTAGATTTATTTTTCGAAGTCTTCCTTGATTCTTCGCCACAATGTACACTGTTCCTTTGCTTTCTGCTGTCACAGCTAAGTGAGGCTTAGAGATCTCACAACACCAGGTAACACAAAATAAAGTATTGTAAAAGTCACTGTGCCTGTGTGCTCAGGAAAACGTGGCTTGATGTTTTCTGACATCCATCTTCCATAAGACTCTGTGCATTGATGAGAGAGCATCTTAACTTGCAACACTGTAGCTTAGCTGTCTTGCAGCAAGACGAGCTGCAATCTTTTGACATAATCTGCCTTACTTAGTGTGCTCTGAGCTGTCTTTGTGTTAAGGTGACTATGCTAATAATGTGATATTAAGATGCTCTTTCCCATAACGACCATAATTGAAAGCCTACTCTGTGGGGGTGATAGTAAAAGAACACTTTTATTTTTCACATTTAATTTGTGTCACACAATATCAAGTTCAACCTTTATGTGAAACAAGATGAGCTTAGGAAGAAATTGTTTCACCTAGTCGCAGACACACTATGGCCTGCAGGAACTAAACCATGAAACTTTGGCCAGAGAGATTTAAGTGCCTACGTTCTCATATCATCAGTGTCGGAGAGAATAATAATCAGATTATTTTCTACCTGACAAAGCATTCTGATCTGGGAAGAGAAAGAGACATTTGGTGATTTTTGAACTCTGAAACACTGTTGATAGAGTCAAAGTGAAGAAGTCAGTTTCTTCCTTCTTCCACGTATGTTCTGAGTCCTAGTAACAGCCATGTACTCCACTTTCCACTTTCACTTCTATGCCCACCAATTCTTGCGATACCACTTACGTTCCTCAATGTTTTTCTTAAGTACAGGTATTCTATTTCTGCTTGAGGTTACCTCATTACTAGGTATGTGGCAAAACCCAGTTTGTTTGTTTTGTTTGTTTTTCATTTCTGCTATCTCTTGGTCTTGGATATCTACAATGCAAAGCTGTCATTTGAAATCCATTTTCACCCAGTAATCAAGTTAGCTAGTCTCAATCATTTAATCCTCTCTCTGGGCATTTCTACCCCGTCTTTCCTACCACCACCCCCCTTACTGGTGATGGAAGGAATGAACTCATGCATACTAGACAATCCTCTACAACTCATCTACATTTTCATCCCTAATTCAGCTTTTGGATTTTCCAGTGAATGCTTAAGGCAACAATAGAAGATGTATTTCAGTAAAAGCAGCAAACACCCTATCTTGGTTCTCTCTCTATAGGTCCAATGTAGTAAATAGATTTTTCTCTGATATTTTCTTCATTTTGGTTGTAAGTTTTTGACTTTCTGTTCTCCAGCTCAGCTTACTGGCCCTAATAGCTTTTAATTCTTGAGGTTCCCATAAAGATGTGCTTGGCTGCACATTAGTCCAAAGACTTCTCTACCTGCCCATTATGATTTGTAAATTTCACAAGTTTTTAAAAGATTTATTTCTTTTTATTTGATTGCACGGATGTGTTGCCTGCACTTGTGTCTTTGCACACATGCATACAGTGCCCACAGAAATCAAAAGATTTCGTCAGACCCCAGCAACTGGAGTTATGAGTGATTGAGAACGCCCATGGAGGAGAGGTTGCTGGGTACTGAATCTGGATCCTCAGGAAGAGCGGCTAGTTGTCTTAGGCACTGTACCAACTGTCTAGTCCAAAACTAACATAATTTTTAAATAAAGGTGCAACATCTTTAAGATTCAATTCCTTTTACATATGGTCCTGTATCAGGTAGAATCTGTTATTTTAATAGCATGAGCTAACCTCTGACAAATGCTTTTATATATGGTGGAGGAAAACAGGAGGCATGCTGGGTACTTAGCAGGACCTTCGATAGTATTGTTTTCACCTTAAGAATGACTAAATATAATTGTGTTTGTTTGCTTGTCTAAATTTAGATTTTTGGTTCAGAATTTGAGGGCAAAATCTCCACAGAGCCATTTGCTATAGTGAAAATTTTTCTTTTTATTTTGCCTTTCATTTTCCTCTTAATTTACACAGTCTCAGTAATACTTTTTTCATGTAGTTCAAAGAATTTTTACAGCTCCAATTAAATAAAGAACTTAATGAAGAGGCTTAACTGCAAACTCCTTAAGTGTTAGTTTTAATAGTGCTCTCAACTCTTTGCAATTTTCTTGCCATTATAATTGTACCACTAGAGTCTCCTTTTGAACTTAGCGTATAGACTATTAAACTAATTTAGCAACAGATATACTCACCATTCATCCAATAGATTAAAAGTCCAAAAATAATGTATAGTAGTCTCCTTTGTGACAAAATGTAAATCTTGGATTCTCAAGTGTTGGAAGACGATCAGGTATTGTCTCTGAACAGCTGACCACTAATGACAAACTTTATATTTCTGTTGTTTTATGAGATCATCCACAGGGAAAGTAGAGGAACATTTATTG